CTTCCAAGAACCGTGGCCTTCTCCTTGGTCTGCCCAGAGTCCTGGGGAATACAAATGTATGAAGGATGGTCGGGAGAGGAAGACCCAACAAGAGAGGCTAAGAAGGAGTGGCTGAAAGGAGCAAAAGAGCAAAGGCTAGATGACTGGCAGCAGGGGTGGTCAAAGCAGCTCAGGGTGTTTCAAGAAGAGAAACGCTGTCTTCCTTCCAAGAGGCCTCTCTTGGGCCTCTCACACTCACAGATGACCGCGCTTCCTGTGTTATGAAAATGGAAGTCATCACGCGGAAGTGCCCACAAATTCCCAATATCGAACCTTTATTTAGCTGCATCTGTACCTGCCCTTCCTCCTGAGCTGGTGGAAGAGGTGTCCTGCCTTCAGTCCAAGGCTTTCCGCCACCTGATCTCAAGATCCCCTACCACCTGTCACTCTATGGATTATCTTCATCCTTCTTTGTTCAGAGCCTTCTTGGCTGCCCCATGTCTCCCTAAAACACAACTCTTCCTAGGCCCTCTGACCTGCTGCAAATACACTCTTATCATTCTCCTCTCCATACCAACACCTTTAAGGAGCTAACCGTGCAGAGCAGCCTGCTCTCTGCCCACCACCAACCCACTGAATGTATTCTTAACAAGCTAACTTTGACCTTCACCTTCTTTTTCATAAATCTACTGAATATTTCTTATCTGTCTCCAAGAAGCCCAGTCCTGCTGACCATAACCCTCTTCATCAAGAGTTGTTTTCATGGGACTTGTGACTGCAGCTTCTTCTGATTTTAACCCTCTTGCCCTGGCCGCTCCTTCTCCATCCATCTCCTTCGATGGCTCTCTTTCCTCTGAACTAGCTCATCCTCCTCACTCGCAAAACCAATTCCTTCTTGTGTTTCTTAGTTAATGACCAGTGCCATCATCTACTCTACTGCTGGAGCCTGGAAACTGTCATTCTCCTTCGTCTCCTCCCTTCCCCTGTGGAATTTACTTTTTAAATACAACTCCGCAATTCAGTACTTCTCCCCAGTCCCATAATCACCACTGGTTTGGGCTAGTCACCTCTGCCGACTCTCCTGTGACCATGGCAAGTACAACCTTCCTCTATTTGGAAATCTTGTTGACTCCCAAGTGAGAGTGGATCCGATCGTCTCACTCTCCCAATTAAAATACTTCCATAAGCCTCCACGGGTTAGACGCTGGGGACAGCAGAGGGCTGTGGAAGTATTTTCATCAAGCAAGCAAGACGATCAAATTCAAAGAACAAATGGCATGACAATAGGCTTTCTCAACGGCCGTGGGGAAAACTGGAGGTTCTAGACATTCTTCTGACAAACAAGGATGACTTCTGCCAGTGACAAACGCTCCTGAAAGAAATATTATCAGATGCACCTCCGAATGAAGAAAACAGTGGAAAGGAGTGAGATGTAGAGCCTGGTGAGTAAAGAATGCAGGCAAAGAGAAACCATCACTGAGTGCACAAACCCTGCCGGTACTAGGTGATCGGGGAGGAGTAAACGCACAATGGTGCGTGTGGTACGAGGACCAAGGTGTTCTCCCCAGGTCTTTGTATATTTTCTAGGAGGATAAAGATACTGACTAACTTGAAACAGTAATCAGGAAAGAATAAAAATACAATGTAGAACTTTCAAAAGAATAGAAGAGAAAAAGAAAGCTTGAAGTTGCAGAAAAAGATAAAAAAAAGTTATAGAAATAGAAAAATAGAAAACACAAGGTAAGATGGGGCAAATAAATATATCAGAAAACATATATGAAAATGAACTCAATCCAACAGTTAGGAGAAATTATCAGATTGGGTTAAAAAATCCAGTTTAGGCTGGTTATGAGATTTGGAGACAGATGCCAAGGGGCCCCTGGGTGGCTCAGTCAGTTAAGTGTCTGACTCTTCGTTTCGACTCAGGTCATGATCTGAGGGTTGTGAGATAGAGTCCCGTATCGGGCCCCCACTCTGTGGGGAGTCTGCTTGCCTCCCTCTCCCTCTGTCTCTCCCCTGCTCTTTCTCACTCTCTCTCAAATAAATAAATCTTTTTTTTTAAATTTTTTTTTAAGATTTTATTTATTTATTTGACAGACAGAGATCACAAGTAGGCAGAGAGGCAGGCAAAGAGCGAGAGGAAGGGAAGCAGGCTCCCCGCCGAGCGGAGAGCCCGATGCGGGGCTCGATCCCAGGACCCTGAGATCATGACCTGAGCTGAAGGCAGAGGCTTAACCCACTGAGCCACCCAGGTGCCCCTCTCAAATAAATAAATCTTTAAATAAATAAACAAATAAAGTCAGGCGCCAAATCAAAGAGGATAAATACTAACTAATAAGAGGAAAATACTAACCAAAACAATGATGGTAACTCTAATATTGATAAAATAGAACTGGGGAGGAATGGCAGGGACAAAATGGACCCTTCATATAATGATAATTGGAAAAAAAAAGTCTCCAGAATATTCTCTATTGTGTGCACCTAATAATACGGCCTAAATATACCTAAGTAACAGAATTAAGAAGTTTGGTCTGGAATCAACATACGCAGAACTCTGTACCCAACGATGACAAATACTCACTGCAAGCATAGAAGGAACATTTCCAAAACTGACCTGTACTAAGCCACAAAGCAAATCCTGACCAATATCAAAGAATCAAAAACATACAGCCCTCATTCTTTAACCACAAATGCAAATAAGGTAGAAATCAGCAACAAAAGAATAACCAAAAAGACAACTGTGGCCACTGAGTGGAGAATGAGTTGGTAGCTGGGGCCTGGCAGAAGCAGGGAGACCAGCTCAGAGTACAAGGAGCGGGTGAGGGAAGTGGGTTGGATGACAGTGGGGACAGTGAGATGGACAGAATGCTCTTACCATCTGGTCTGGTTATGTACACCTGGCACCTAACACAGTACCAGGTACACAGTCATTGCTAAAATCCGAGTTATAAAAAATGCAAAAGAAGCTACACAGATTCTGGTTCAAGCCCTGAAACAAACTGCTGCTTCATCCATGGCCTGGTCACCAATACCTCACCTGCCAGGACCCCAGTTTACTGCCAGGTCCGACAGCCCTGCTTACATCTCGCTGTCTCACATCCCTGTCTTATGGCTCCTTATTTTTAAAACGCTTTTATGGGACGCCTAATATAAACCATACTAGGTGTTTCTATACCTATTATCTCATTTAATATACCCCCCCAACTTGTAAGTTGAGCCCTATAAACCCCACTGTTGGATGAAGAAGTGACTGAGCACACTGGTTGAAATCCCAGATCTGACTCATTGGCTGAGGGTCCTTGTACAGTCACTTAACTGTTCCATACCTCAGTCTGTCCACATATAAAGTGGGGGTGATAATCACACAGCAGCTACAAAGATGGTTGTGAAAACTACGCGGGTTAATATATATAAAGTGCTGGGGATACATGGCACAAGTCCACACCTTCATCGTTGGATGGACGAGCATGTCTCAGCCCATGCTCATCCTGGGCCGGGTGATTCTGTTGTGGGGACTGTCCTGTGCACTACGCACGTTTAGCAGCATCCCTGGCCTCTATCCACTAGATGCCAATAGCACCCTCACACCACCCCACTCCACCCTCAGTTGTGATGAGACAAAATGTCTCCAGATAGAACCAAACATGCCCTGGGGACAAAATCGTCCCCAGCAGAGTCACCGCTTTAGTCTTCCTAATGGAAATTTTCCCAGCGGGACCCAAAGCACAGCCCCTTGTCCCAAGTTCAATTCTAGATGCCTTAAGAAGACAGCCTGGGGCATGGATCCAGGCAGGATGATGGAACCAGATTATGCAGGGCTTCACCCCACCCTCTGTCTACCCCACATGTGGTGCCTGAACGTAGGCCGGAAGGCGGAATGCACAGAGCCATTTCAATGCTGAGTGATGAAAGAAGCTACCAGGCAACGTGACTGTGTACTTAAAAGGCTCTGCCTCCAGAAACCAAATGTTGTAGCATTTGTAACGGGCAGAGTGTTTACACAGAGCTTTTGCCTTCAAATCGCCAGGCTTTCAGACTCTGCTAATATTCTCCAGGGGGGCAGGGCTGGCCCTCTTCCATCTTCAAGATGATTCAGGTTTCCTGGAGAACAAAATGAGCCTCTAATGCCTAATATTTTCTCTCTGACAGATGGTTTCAGATGTATCAAAGTGCTAATCCTTGCTGAGGTATAGGTCTCCAGGAAGGAGAGTTTGGCTTTTAGAATGATAGAACTTGAATGATTAAGGAGGAAAATTACTCCCAGGATATTCACCATTGTCATGTGAGCAACCCGCTTAAAATGAAGGAAGACAGAAGACTCTGAAAAAAGACCTGAGGAAAACTCAAAAACCCAGGGTAACAGTTTAGGTCTGAAACATTTCCGCTTAAAGCTGTCTCTGGGAGTGGAAATGGAGTGCAATAAAAACACCTTCAGGCTCAGGAAGATTAGGGCTCCGTCTGCCTCCCTCCAATACCACCATTTCCCAGCTCCCGAGTGTGGGAGAAGCCCTGCAGATACTGGGCAGGGCGGGAATATTCGCCTTCCAACTCACTAGCTCTGTGACCTTGGGCCTCTTATTCAACCTCTCTGAGCCTCAGTTTTCCATCTTGTGAAACGGGCATTAAAATACCTCGAAGCGAGGTTGTGGATATTAAAAGGTCCAATGTTATGCCTAACCTGACACGTCAGCGTTCCGCGAATGTTACCTGTGAGCATGAACTAGTATTTAGTGTCAACTTACTATGTGCCGACTGCTTTCGTTACCACCTGGGAGTCTCAATGGACACTGAACGGTCTTATTTCACTGATTACAAATAGCAATTTACAGATGCGGATGCTGAGAGTACGAGAGACTGAGTCACACTTGCCCACGGTCACAAAGCCGCACACAGCAGGACTCGAACCCGGGACTGCCTGACTCCCGAGCCAAGCTCCTTCCACGGCCCCACGAGCAGGTGTGGGTCGGAGGGGAGGGGTGTTACTGAGACCAGGCCACCGCGCGGGGTCACAGGTCACTCACGATACTCCTCCAGCCGCATGAGGGGCCGGAAGTAGATAGGGTAGAAGGCGGCGCCGATCAGGGAAATGAAGCCGCCGAAGATGAGCACCGTGCGAAGGTTCCGGGACATAGCGCCGGGTAAGGGGTTGCCCCGACCCGCTGAGAAACCCGCACACTGGTAGCCGCTGTTCACGCCGCCCGGCCGAGACCCCAACCGGAAGAGGCGGAGGAGCTTTCGCTTCCGGGCCTTGGAGGCGGGGCTAGGGGGAGGGCGGGGCGAGATCGTGCAGGGGTGGGGCCAGGGGCGTGGCTACGGGTGGGCGGAGCCGGGCGGGAGCCGGCGCGGGGCGTCGGTGCAGCTCACGCTTCCCTAGCGCTGTCTCTTTGGAGGTTGCGCCTGCCCAGCGCCTGCCCAGCGCCCGCGGCGTGGTGAATGGGGTTCTTGCTTGGCTGGATCCTACCGGCCCACTTCTGGCCCTTGCGCAGCCCGCAGCCCCGTTCCCCCTAAGTGCACCATTCTCCTGACCTCTTTTACCACCCCCTCCTTTATCAACCAGGCTTCCTCATTCTCTCCCCACCCCACCATTTGATTTTAGTGCCTTTCTACCTCAAGCTGCGTGTTCTCTGTGACTCGCTGATTTAAACCTCATAATATCAGTTGGCCCATTTTACAGATCAGGGAACCCCGGCTTGGCCGCGCGGCTTTGCACAAGTCATTGGGTCTCCTTGAGGACTGTTGGAAGAGATGAGAGACGAAGGGGCGACTCGCCTGCCCCAGGACGGCCTGCGGGGGGCTTCTAAACGGAGCCACAGGGACTTCTGGACCAAGAGTAGCAGAGGAGCAGTGTTGTTTCAACGTCGTCTAAACTACAGGGAGATTTGCTCTGACTCCGTTTTTCTATCCCCCTTCTCTCTCGCCATTCCCTCTTGCTGAATGTCTGGGTTACCAATGAGCTAGGGATAAATACGGTCAGTGCAACTCAGAGAGCCAGTGGCCAGTCCAATTGATGGGATCTTAGGGTTTTGCCTTACTGCCTGGGGTGGGGGCTACTGAGGGTAAACATCCTGTTCCCCTTCCTATGACTCCCATTCTCCATCCTTCTGGGTGGGCTATGAGAGCATATGAGCTACCCAGAGGTATTGAACAGCTGAGAGTAAGGTTCATTGGGCCTTCACTCAATCCTTTATAGATAAGAATGCTACCAGCAGCTGGAGGCTGGGGAGCAAGCCGACATTCATCCTGACCCTGGCAGTATTATTGAGTCTGGAAAAGATCTACGATCTTTCCAAAACGGTGTGGAGAGCACAGGTTTCCTCTCTCTCTGTAGCTTTGTAGTTCGGTCAAGCTACTGTATACCTCTGTGGTTCCAGAAGCATATAAATCAGGTGTTCGATCTGTCAGCAGATTTATGGACTAACTGCCATGCCCCAAACACCAGACAAAGTGCGACGAGGGACACCAAGATGAGTAAGATGTGACCCTTGCTCTCCGGGATCCTGCCACGTGGATGAAGAGACATCTACATAAAAAGATAACTAATGACCCGGCGCAGCTTGTTGCCAATGAGTGATAGGGTCCTGAGGGCTGCAGAAGTTCAGTGGAGGAAGACAGATGACTGTAGGGTGAGGCGGGGGCTGCTCCGAAGCTAGTAGGAGCTTGTTAGGGGGAAAACAGAGGACTTCCCTGCAGAGAGGGGAGCTGGGATGCATGCTTTCTGTCATGTGATATAAAACCCCAGGTGTAGTGTGCCTTTGTCATTTTAGCAGCTCAGCCTCCACTTATCTTTCTGTTAATCACCCCAGAATATCTTTTGGCAAACCCCTCCTCTCCCATCTCAATCCGTGAAACTGGGTTTCTCCTCAGTGCCCCCTGTACCCCAATGATTTTTTTTTCCAGCTCTGAGAGTTAAGTATATAACCAAGCCTAACCAAGCTCCCACACCACGAGGATCAATCAGGACAGGGCCCAGGCCTGATCACCCAGTATCGCTGCATCCTCCTGGCTACATGACCCACGTTGAGCCAGTCATAGTGTTTTCCAGCTGCTGGAAATCTGATTGAAAATTTGACAGGATTGGATGCTGGAATCCCTGGGCACCACCATTTAGAGATTGAGAATGAGGACAGTACGGCAGAAGGAAAGCTAGGGAGTGGAGAGAATCAGTTGCTGACGTTACATTTGAGCTCCTGGAGGCAGCTGTACCTGAAAGGGATTCGCCTTTGGACTTCCTCACTAACATGAACCAATGAGGTTCCCTCTTCACTGAAGCCAGTTTAGTTGTTTTTTCTGTTTGTTTTTTAACAATAGGAGTTCCAGAGGAAGTCACCACGAGTGTGATTTCATTTGCTTTAACAATTCTATGAGCTGCAAGTCAAGGATTACCCTATTTTATAGAGCAGGTCACTGAGATCCAGAGACCTTTCTTAGGGTCACACAACATTAGCTGAGCCAGGACCAGGCTTTGGTTTTCTTGATTCCTAATCTGACTGGCTTCTCCTCCCTGAGACTAGGCTGTCTCCATGAACAAGCTCTCCAGGATGGCTGGATGAGCCCTACCCACATCCTGAAAGCCAGGATGTCCTCATGAGCCACCAGCAGTGGCTCCAAGGCAGACATGGACTCATGTGGGACAAATTAACCACCCCCATCTCCAAGTGGCAAGTAACCTGGTGGCTTCTCTGTCCCCTCATGTGAATCTAAAGAGTTAAGTCTGACCGGTGGCCAGGCCACAATCTATACAGATACAATAATCACCTTATTCGCATGATCACACCAATAATTAGTTACCGAGCACTTGCTTGCCACTGAGTCCTACCAAATATAGGTTCATCTCTTTGGTCCCCATGTTCTCCTCATTTCTGAGGATCCCACTGACTCACAGATTCAATCAGCAAATACTTATTGTGTGCCAACTCCAGCAAAGCACTGCACTAGTTGATTGGGAACACGAAAAGGAAACATCAGCATTTGTGTATTTGACAAAGGCTTACTGAGCCAAGCACCATGTGCCAGGCACATTTCAAATGCTGGTGACTGCAGCCAGCAGTGAATTAACAAGAGAGTCTGTTGTCCTCATGGCATCTCTAGTGTGGCAGAGGGATAAGATGCGGCAGTGGATAGTAATTGCTTTTTGGTCCCTCAACCTTCCCTAATAATAGCTCCTGATTCTGCATTTGCATAGGGAGGAGCTGGGGGCAAAGTAAGAATGACGAGCTCAATAGCTACTAAACGGCTGAGCCAGGATTCGAATCCAGTCTGGCTGGCTCCGGAGACCTGTGATTATCACCAGTGTACTCTGCCTTGCAAAGTCAGTGAGTTCATATTGTCTGAGTGCGGGTCCAATTCCAACCTGGTCCAACTGTTTCCTTTCTCCCAGAAATAAGAATTGGGAGTTTGGTGACTCTGGGACAGACAGACAGTACTGTTGCTGTGGATTTCTTCCACTGCTGATGTCCTGATGAGATGATTGCTTATCTTCCACTTGCCTGTTATCCTAGAGATTTTTTTTTTATCCCCCCTTGCAGTCTTATTCTCCGTGGTTCATTATATTTTGCAGGCCACCCATATACTTCCAGTAAACTCTTTTTGGATTTTAGTTTGTCAGAGTCTATTTTGGTTGCATACCAACAGAAGACCTCATAGATGCAGAAAGTCCCACAGTCACCTCCAACATGTGGCATAGACAAGGGGCCAGGGACTTCATAGCTATGCTAATGTTTGCCAAAGCCGAAGGAAATTTGGATTGGTGGGGGAGAGGTCTTTGCGCAAAGGGGGAGAGAGCTCAAGGGATAGAAGGAGACAGGATGCAAGTCAGATATGTCAGGAGGCCTAGGGTGCATATTTTCATCTCAATCACTGAGAAAAAAAAATTGGTTCTGACTCCTATCTGGCACATTTCTCCTTCTTCCCTTGGATGTGAAGATTGAATGCTTGCAGGGAGCAGACCACCAGTGGTGGCTCACATGGGGTTCAGACAGACATCAAAGTTAATCCGCTCTCTGATCTAAGCAAAATGGTGATGAGGGTTTCCTGGGACAGCAGATCCACTAATTGTGGCACTGCAGCCCGGCTGATGTATTTTTAGAATATTGTGAATTTTCATAAAGTACATTGCTTTCTGCAGGCAGTCAGACTAGAAGCTTGGGGTTTGGAATAGAGTGGGATCTAATGCAGGGTCCTCTGGATCTGAACTTTTAAGAATGAGAAAATAAGGACAGGAAACACTTCCCTGTTTTTATCAGCCTCTGTGACTCTCTGAGTGTCTACTTAGCTCTATAAATATTTCTGATTTCGATCATTTTTCAAGCTTTTCTCCTTTGATCTGTTCTTTACATCCAAGAGAGTTCCCCAAATATCTGTCTTGGCTTACCTCTTACCACACCATGCACCCTATAGTTTTAACTAATCTCTTTATGACTTTGTAGGGGCTAAGAGAGGGAGGGCCCAAGGTGGGTCACTGTGGCATGAACATTATTTTGAGTTAAAAGGAATCAGGGGTGCCTGGCAGCCTCAGTCCATGATGCTTTGACTCTTGATCTCGGTTGCGGGTTTGAGCCCAAGGTTGGGTGTAGAGATTACTTAAAAATTAAATCTTAAAAAATTTCTTTTAAAAAGCTGTCTAGGGGAGCCTGGGTGGCTCAGTGGGTTAAGCCTCTGCCTTAGGCTCAGGTCATGATCTCAGGGTCCTGGGATCGAGCCCCGCATGGGGGGTGGGTGTCTCTGCTCAGCGGGGAGCCTGCTTCCCCTTCTCTCTCTGCCTGCCTCTCTGCCAGCTTGTGATCTCTGTCAAATAAATAAATAAAATCTTAAAAAAAAAAAAAAAGCAGTCTAAACCTAGCAGATTCAGGAAAAGGTTTTTTTACCTCTTTCTCAACTGCCTGCCTGTACCAGGAAGAACACTATTAATAAAGATTCTTCTTTACCTAAGAAACTGATTTGCATAACAGGGCACCTTTGTTTTCCAAAGATTTCTTCTCACCTTCCTGCTAGTGGTCCTTCTCACCTCTGTGTCATTGGATCCCTGTCCATCTCAGCTCCTGTGTCACTTCCCCTCATAGTCTTTGGGATTTCCCTGTGTGGATTCCCATAACTATTCTATTAAATTTGGTTTTCTCTTGCTAATCTGTCTCATGTCAATTTGATTCTTACTCCAGCTCAAAGGACCGTGAAGGGCAGAGTAAATTCTTCCTCCCCAACGA